GGGGAGGGATGGAAATCTAGCTGCTGGTTGGGAGCCTGCAGCCAGTTTTCCCTAGCAATGACCCTCATCTCTCCCAGCCTGTCCATTTGAGAATGGGAGGGGGAGAAAAGGAGGAGAGGGAGCTTGTTTTAGGGACTCACCTGCCCCAGCCATCTCTGGAGGGTAGTGCAGGTAAATTGGAGTCCCCACCACCTCAGGGGGCTAGGGGGACTCCAACACACCCATCCCACCCTCCAACAGGGGCTGAAAAACCCCCAGACTGAACTCCCTCTGCTCCCTTTTCCCCCTCCCATTCTGAAAACAGCTCCAGGCTGGCAGAAAGGGAAAACAAATTACAGAAGACTGTTTTGAAACACCTTCATCTGACCTCTCATGCAATGAAAGGTCAGATTTTCACCAGATTGGCCATTTTTTAAGCTGTCTGCAGCAGTGCACTTGTATTTGGTCACAACTATAAACTATTTTCTGTGGCCAGTTTGAGTGAAAACTGTTATGTCTATCTGAACCCTAAGTCTCTGCTTTTCCCCATGCTCACCTTAGTAACTTCATAGCATGAGAAGACATAGATGAAGGAAATGTTGAAAGGGGTTCTTTTCCATTTTCCCTTTGCTACCATAGACAATTTATTTTTATTTTCCTTATCCAAGTTCCATAAATTAGTTCGTCACAGCAAACCATTTCCAAAAGAGAATGCTGCCAATCACGAACATATAGTTCTTAAAGAGCACAGGAAACAAGCTCCCTCCCAGACTTTTTAATTTGTTCACCAGAGCTGTACCAATAGGCTGGCTGTTTGTCCAGGTAAATTCAATGAACCCAAGCTCCTTAAACTGACTACAGCTTAAAGTTTATAAATGTAAACTGATGTAGGAAGGAGGGTGTCTCCTTTCCCAACACCACCAGTTTTCTCCCAGTCTGAGTTTAGGATACGCACCCACCCCCAAGTTGCTTTTTTCCCCCTCTCATTCTAGTTAGGCATTTTCTGCCTCCATGCTGCATGCCAGCTGAGGGGGTGGCAAGTACTGAAAGCACAGGGGAGTTTCCCCATTTTCTGGTCTGGTGCTTAGCCTCACAGATGCTCCCCAAAACAAAGACCATCAATTGCAGGGTGGAGAAAAGATCAGCACCACTGCACAGAGCAGGAATTGGAGTACAGCAAGAGGTGGACTAGCATTCTACAGTGCTGTCGGGGTCACAATGGATAGCCAATGGTTAGTAAGAGGTTGCCAACCCCTGTCCTAAGATCTAGAAAAAAAAAGATAGTTTCTCATAAAGGAAGAAATCCTTTTACTGAACCAAAAATCCCCTGTGCTTTTATGCCTAATTTTGACCTGCCCTTTGCCTTTTCACATTTCTCTGCTCTCTTTACCTGACAACTTACCCAAAAGGTCTCATGTACTTACTGAAGAACTTCCTTTTACTTTCCCCTTTTGCTACCATAGGCAATATATTTTTGTTTTCTTTATCCAAGTGCCATAAACTACTTCTCCCTCACAGCAAACCATTTCCAAAAAGAAAATACACATTGTGTTTTCTGATAGACTTATCTGCAGTATACTATAATCACGTTCCATTTTAGTCACTTATTAATTCACCCTACAGATGCAATATGAATGGCTGAAATTAGCAAATCAATAAGTGAATATCGACTGAAAAAGTACGGATAATGCACCAAAAAATTACTTTATTCATGTCCCTGAGGACATAAAGCCCCAAGAGAAGGATTTTGGTCTCCTAGCACAGAAATATAAAGCCTAAAGCTAATTTTATTAAAACACCAGGTTTTGTCTGTCGCATTCAATCAATACAATTATCATATTTTATAAGCTTATTATAGTAAAAACACTTTGGAAAACATATTTTATGTACTGTTGGTTTATATTTTTCTTCTGTGAGATCATAATCTTCATTAAAAGGGGGGCAGCTTTTTCATTTATTTTTATTTCTAATGGTTTTTTAATTGCCAGTTTTCAAACATTATTTTACTCTAAAATTACCTCATTGTTAAGCTAGAAACAAGACTCTTTCCATCCTAAAACAGAGGTATAAGAAATTCATGTTTATGTGTGTCCTAAGTAGGGATCCTGCTTTTCTTTGGTAAAAAATCCAAAATTCTGATGAAAAGGCCCAAAAATCTTTGTTTTCCTGCCATTAAAATGAAGAAAGTATGTGTGTGTCTGTGTGTGTGTGTACATACAGCCCAGCAAGTGGGACCTGGCACAGAAGGACAGAGTGGGGCAGTGAGACCACCGCTAGGAGCCCCACACCAGCCATAACACCAAGATGAGGTACCCTCTACCCACCTGGCAGGAGCAAAGGAAGCAGCGCAAAGTTGTGTCCATTTCACTGGGCCATGGAGGCTCCTGGGGAGAAGGCAGCAGGGCTGGTAGCCGTGAGCCCCACAGCAGGCAGCCTGCTTTCTGCCCCATACTACACAGAAATCTGTGGGGCACATGCCCCCCCCTCCCATCCCATACCCTCATGTCACCTCTGGCACCTGACCCAAGAGTGTGCACAGCAGCAGGGATCTGACCCCCCACCCACACCCCAAATGAGACATCCCTGGCTCCATCCCACTCCCTCAGCTGGGCCCTGTGTTCCCACCCCAGCCCCTTGGCACCACCACAGCTGGGCAGCACCCCCAGCCACCAAACATACGCTAATCCCTCCCTTACCATAGCTGCTGCTGCCGCCTCGGTCTGTCCTCCACCCCTCCCCCACATTGCCTGTGCCCACTGATAGACTTATCTGCAGGCAGCTAGGAGCTGCTCTCCACTACTACCTGGCTGTATTGCTGGGCACGCCTGCATCCCACTACCCCCAGCAGCCCCTTGCAAACTGGAACTCTGCCAGCCTGCAAAAGGAAACTTAGATTTTCCCATGTTTTTGTCCTTTAAAAGGAGAAAATTGGAGTTTTTCTATGGCAAATGGAAAACCCAGATCCCTGGTCAAAAGCTTCCAAAATCCCATTTTAGTCTTTTTTTTTTTTTTTTTTTTT